TTTTGAAAAAATTAATTTGTTAAGATTTACATGCAAATTTCGTGGAATTTTATGATTGGAACAGCATTTAAAGTTAAAATCATTAATTTAAATTAACCGGATTGATCGAAGGAACCGGATTTATTAAATCCGGATGAAACGAAGGAACCGGATTTATTATATCCGGATGAAACGAAGAAATCCGGATTTATTGTATCTAATCTGGATTTAAAATATAAATCCGGTTCTAACCTCTAGTTCAAAATTATTCAAATCTCAATTTTTATTAAGGTTGTTTAGTATTTATAGATTTCATAATGCTAATGATATACAAATTTACTTTTTAACATTTTGCATTATTTTAGCATCTTAATTCAAGAAAATCGCCTTTTATGATTTAAGTAAAATTGTTCAAAAGGTCTGAAATTACTCAAATCTCAATTTTCATTAAAGTTAATTTAATATTTGTGAAGTTTATTATAATAATGATACATGAATTCACTTTTTATGCTATCTAATGACTTTTAATCATTTTATTTAAAATTTAAATAGAATTGCTATTAGTATTATTGGTTAAATTTTAACCAACTTTAATAATGCTTATTAAAATAAATTTAAAATATAAAAAATAAATAAATTATTAAAAAATTAATAAATAAATACAATAAAAATTAAGGCAATTTCTATTTGTACACGGGTGTATTGTATACGGATCACGTGATATGTCCGGAATTAACATTACTTTTAACAGCATAAAGAAATTAACCGTGTGATGACTATGTGACGGATAATGAATGACGAATAAGAATTTTTCACCAAGTTCCTGGAATAAATAGTAAAAACTAAAGGCGGAGGGGCGTGACGCCGGTGACAATATATAAATCACGTGATATGTGTACATACACCCCGTGTAAAGGGCATCCTTAACCTAGGGAGGGGGTGTAGACCTTTATCCTAAACCGCAACTGTAATTGTCACGTGATATATACTTTAAAATTATTATTTATACATGGGGTTGGACACCCTGTGTAAACTTAGAGATTTTCTTTTTTTAATTCGCTATTTAAAAAATTTATTATTAAAATAAAATACAAATTAAAAAAAATAATTAAAAAAATTAATTGAAAAGAAATTAAATTAGAAAATTAATTTAATTATTAAAAATTAAACTTCCATCAATTATTTAATGCTAAACGGGCGAAGTCCCCCGCAAACTGCAAACTCTATTTCCTATAATGACGATCTAAATAAAGTTTCTCTACTTTTTATTTTGAGTAATTAATTTTCATTAAAAAACAAAAAAAAATTAAATAAAAATAAAGTATTTAAAGAGGCTGTAATAGAAATTTATAGTTATTCAAATTTAACTTATTGCGCCACAAGTTATTGCCGAACAAGAACTGACTGGCTTAATAATTTAAACAATTTATTTATTTATTTATTTTTGAAATAATTAATATTTACATGTCATAGAATGTTTAATAAAATTTTGTATATAACATCGTAAAAGTTTATTTATTCGCGTGACTGCATGAAGGGCGTGTTCTTTCATCGGACTCGCCATTTGCTACTAACTTTGTCTCTTTAAGTGCATTTCCGAAAAAATCACCCAATTATAAGTTTATTCAACATTCCACCAACCATACAGAAGGTTTTGATATAACCATGAATTTTAGTAAATTTCCGAGTGAGTATTAGCAAAGTTCACAAATAGAATTTGAAATACCCCTCACCACCTAATATATTTTTTTTCATGCTCATGCTATCTATTTCCTTCGAGATTCGCTGTGATCGCAAACGTGAATGTCCCTGGATTTTCGTTGTCAAATGATCACGCATAACGATAATCAAGAGCTCATTGATTAAATACATAACTCGGGATACATGACGAATTACTATGCTAATGGTGGCGGACTAATATACATGCTTATTTTTTCCTAATATTTTCTTCGATACGTGTTCATCACTAGAAAAAAACCCTATCCTTTAATAAACCCACAGATGCAGTAAATGTCAGATGCTGTTTCCTAAACATGAATTTCGATAGATTAGTAAATATTTGAGAAAATAGTTGAGGATGCAATAATATGGCGTTAAAAATATTTCTCACTTGTCGTGATGACGCCGTATACTTTCCGTTTTTTTCTTCATAGAATGATTTAGAGAATTCATTATTTAATATGCAATTTTGAACTATCATTAAGTATCATTTTAATTATTTAATAATACTCATGATTTTCAATTTTGTAGACGCGGATATTAGGGAAACATCATTAACAGATCCTACAAGGCATCAAGTTGATAATAGGAAGAATGATGAATTGACAGAAACTACAAAAAAGACTAACAATTAAATTTGAAACCAATTACTAGAATTACCCTTCCAAGGCTAAGTCTTTAAAGCTGCTGATGTTTCTGATGAAGAATAAGCTTTCCCACTATCATATTAAAGTGTTTTTGATTATTAGCTGTTTTAAAATATATTTTACATTTCATATAATAGAATGACAACTCTAATTTTTTAATCGCCTCGTTCGTATTTTTTTAAATTTAAAATATTAATAATTCTATTTCGTGGTTAAAATTAATAAAAAGACAGCATTCCGTTAAAGCTTAATAATTCATTTGGAATTTATATATTATAAATTTATTATACTTTAATGTTCGGAATGTATATGTAATAAATGCAAATTAGATTTCTAATATAATAAAAATGATATTTAAAATTATTGTCATTTTAAGTTATACATTGTAAATCGAACAATCGATCCATTCACTTCGACCAGTGATTCTAAGTAACTAAGTTTAGAGACCTTTCGGTAATAGGTTTTCGCCACTTGATGAGTCTATTCAATCTTTCTTGATTCTCATTTTCGAGGAAATAATTACAAAAGGAAGAGTTAGAAACGTGAAAGATAGTTTATTAGTTATTGACAAGTTATTCAGGAGGTCTTACGATTAACGGAATCAGGAACGTTAATTGAATGAGTTATTAAAGCAACTTTACTATTTCATTACGAGGTTCAACAAAATGAATTTCTTTCCATTTATGGTTCGTTTATTATTATTAAAAGGTGTAATTTGGGTGAGAAATAATCGAACAATAACAAAAGTTTGTTATATACTAATTTAGTCATTATTGACGTCATGCTTTCATGCTTTGTGCAGCCTATTAATGTCCAAAAAAAATAAAGTTTTTCTATTTATGGTGTTTAATACTTCGCAATTTTACAATTTTGCTTCTTATCTTTCTTATCTGATCTGTCAAACAAACATTTGCTTGCCATTAAACAGAAAATTTATGCAATATTTACGCCAAACGTTGGTTTCTATACGGGCTACCACACAATCCTGACCTCCTAATCCTAGCACGTTAATAAAAATAAAAAATAAATAATGATAAAATGGATATAAAAACCATACGTTCCGTGATAAGCACTAATGATTTGAAAACATACTAAACCATTATTGGAACTAACGAGTTGGAAGAGGCATTTTTTTTTTTTTTTTTTTTTTTTTTTTTTTACGAGATACTTTTATATTCGTTGATGTTTTTCGTTAACTAGCTATTGTTTCAAAATTTGTGGATAATCTAACTAAAAACATTTTTGTTTAACAATATTAAACACCATAAATAGAAAAACATTTTTTTTTCGGACATTGATGAGGATCGACAAGCTGCATGAAATAGTATTATATAATAAACTTTTGTTATCGTACGATTTCTCACTTTTCTCTCTTGCTCTCAAGTTAAAATAATAATTTTCTTTCTTCCCTCCCACTTTTACCTTAGTTACTTAAATATCGTAGCAATAAAATTATAGGAGGCTTAGAAGTAATACCAAAAGATACTATTTAAATATTATGGAAGAAGCCATGATTAATGCAAAGGTAAAGACACTTTATAAGCGTTACGAAGAGATCAATAGCACGTCATTGACATGTTCAGAGCTGGAAAGTTTTTTTTTTGAATTCCATATATAATGTTCCGGAGGAGGAATCGGCCATGTACCTTTTTCAAACGTCGAATAATTTAGTCTTGTATCTGTATATGCAATCATTTGTTTTCCTTTCTGAGGTTTTGACTTTAGAGTCTAATAGAAAGTTTAGTGTGCTAACATATATCTTCTGCAAGTTAATTTAATATTCTAACTTTTCCATTTTAGGATCAAGAAACATCCCCTCAAATTAAATTGATGGCGATGAAAAGTCTTTGGTAATTAACTGTATTTACTGATGCATTGCATAAAGATTATTATCTATAAACATGATTGTTAACACATTTATAGAATCTACTTACTTTAGAAACATACATCCCAGTTGAATCTTCCGAACAGAAACGTGAAATAGAAGATGATCAAATGGTAGCGGTGAGTCAGTATATTCTTTTATAAATGTACGATTTTAGAAAATGTATTTATAGTATTATTCTTTAGGATCCGAATGAAATGTCACTACAAGATATATTTGAATCCGAATTTCATTGTTCTGAAAATATGATGTTGATCTGTGAATACCACAATAAAATCTGCTCAAATGATTCTCTGATTGATTTGAGGCCCAATTCGATTTTTACAAAACAACTTCTTTCAAACATTCTAGTGCCTTATCTTGAAGAGCTCGATAACCGGATCGAAAGTTTGATTCCATCGAACATCCACAACTTTTTAATGAAATTTTTCGGTCAGAATTTAACGGGCAGTGATTGGAATGATAAGATTGATGATCTACAATGTTCGGATAAAAATGATCATTTAATGGCTTCAACGATACGAATCTTGCGCAGGACTTTACCAATTTTGTAAGTACAAACTTTTTCCCTATAAATCAGTGATTTAGTTAAAGCATCTTCTTAATTTTTTATAGTATTATGGCATTTTCGCAAGGACCAAATAATCCTCTTTTGAATTTGACTGCGTTAAAAAGAACGCATTTAAATGAATTTGTGCACCCATGTCTGCAAGTCAGCCTATGGTACATATCATCTATAAATTACGAGTTCGGAGAGATAACCACGAATAACGATTTACAAGAATACGCAGACGGTTTAGGATATTTAGACAAATATCGATTAGTTTATATGGAAGGTTTGAGGCCAAACGACAAAGATGAGAAAGTGGCAGATGCTTCGAAACTCTCCAAAAACCTACAAAACATTTTTTTAAGCGTGGTCAATGATAACGTAAAGTGCGGAAGAAGAATACCCAAACCTCTGGCCATCTTTGGTGGTCAAAGTTTTCTAACCCGAATTCATTTGCAATTTATGGATTATTGTGGTATATCCTTTATTTTGTCTGTATTAGTTACTGATTATATTGACTAATGATAATTCTAATTAGGAGGAGGAAAATTCCGCCTTAATGAAGTAGACAACGCCAACCTACCATGCGACTTTACAGAGATGGGGGATTTCGTATTCTTTTACGAATGTATTATAAAATGGGCCGTAAGTATCTTTTTATTACAATAAATGACTTGCATTAACATATTATTAATATTAAATTACGAATTTAGTTGCTAGCTCGGGAAGTCAAGGAAGCTTTTGAGGTATAAGAGCAAAACACTGAAGATGCTTTATTATTTGTGAATGACAAATGAAATAAAAAAAGCGAATCCTCTGTTTTTATTTTTTAAAAAAAAAAAAATTAAATTTATATATATTTTTTCAATTAATTCTTTTAAATTTATTGTTTTCAATACTGTGAAATTTTAGCGATTATTTCGTTTATTTGATTATTTTCTAATTATGCTTCTTTAAATATGAACATTTTTTATTTGTATTTATATTTTAGCACTAAGGACTGTGGTTTATATACTTAATTCAATTGCTTTTTAGTACTTCAAATATTTCATGCTTTTACATTTAGTATTAGGGCATTGGACGAGAATATTTTTTTAATTTGACGCCATTGTGCACAGTAAACACAATAAATTTGTATTAAAAATTCTCTATTTTGGGTGTCAGTAATTGGAAAAAAAAATATATTTTTTTCTTATTAATTTAAAAAATTTCTAACGATCATTGTTAAATATACCATAAAGTTTAGATTCTATAAAAAAAATTGATTAATAAAGTCAAACTTCAATTTTACTCACGTGAAAAATCGTGTTAAATAATATTTTCAAAAGTAGAATGTGTAATAAAAAAAATTTATAATTTGTGGAAAACTTTATTTTCATGCGAAAATTTGGCTTTCGGCACATGTTGATCATTCTATAATTTAGCGATTCTAAAATTTTTTTTTAATAAAAAAGGACAAAAAAAAAGAATTCAAACTTCGAAAATTTCGACGGATTTCGATGGTTGATTTAACAAAAATTCAAAATTTAACGGGTTTAACATGTTGGGATTGCATACAAATAATGGATTATAACTCAAAGGATAATTAGATCTTTTATTTTTTTTATTCCATTTTCTTTTTTTTTTTTTTGCCTATCAATTATCATTTGCTAGATCGTAAAAATATATAAAATAGCATAAGGCTCGTGGTAATAAATTTGTCTATGGATGCTAAATATTATTAAACTTAGAAAATTCACGCGAATAGTCAACAGTCCATAATATACCCGGGTAAAAATCAGGTTCATACATCGAAGCTTTTAGAATGGGGGAAGGAATAATGGATTTATTGGTGACATTACGTCAGAATTTGAATACTCGGAGATCATGTTTCTGGTTATTATTAGGCTAAAATGAATATTCACAATAGAGTTTGTTTACAAATCACTAATCTTGTCAAATGATTACGTGAGATCTTAATGCAAATATGGTTAGTCGTGCGTGACATAGTAGTAAATAAATAATCATTAGGTTTTTTTAAATCCTCCAAAGAAAATTTAGTTTATATCTTTAATTACGCCATTGCACAATAGCGTATTAATGAACAGGAATCTAGATTGATGAATAATTACATTCATGATGTCATAAGAAATTATCCACTTTCTTGTATGCGGAATAAATACTTTGCTCATTCGGGATTTCTTATAACATTTAGTTTAAAGTAAAATATTATATAAAATATTAGCAAAAATTTTAGATTCTCGGTGCTGATTACCTAATATTCAATGCAATCAGAAAATCAGAATGACATTTATGGCGTAATGATGGTGATACTTTCGTCATCCAAATAATACTATTTTATAATTTAATATAATGTTTTACAATTTATTTGGAATTCCTCTCGATGATGATGATAATAACAAATCGAATAACTTGTTTATTTAGCTTTATGATCCAAAAGAAACTTTCGAAAATTTATTTTCGCAGTCAAATGTTGATTAACAATAATAGACGTAAATTTATGTAATAGTGATGTAATGAATCGACTGCAAATCACTTCACTTATACATAACCGTTTAGATCAAAGATTTCCTTAAAAAATAAAAGAAATGCTCAATGTCAACCTTAACGAAATAAAATATGGACGCAGTTCAAGATAATAAAAGTAAATTCAAAGAATTACAAGAACAACGAGATGATTCAAACAAATCTGAAATGTATAAATCTAGTGATATGAACTACCAATATGGGATAAAAATTAATCCAGATGAAAAGTCCATATATCAACAGTATCGAGCATTTGCGAAAAGAGGAAATATTGTAGCACAATACAACGTAGGACGTTGTTTTCAATATGGTAAAGGAATACATAAAGATGAAAGGAAGGCTTTTAAATGGTATTTAAAATCTGCTGAAAATGGACATTCGAATGGTCAAAATAAATTGGGATGTTGTTACGAATATGAAATTGGAACGAATAAAGATGAAGGAAAATCTTTTGAATGGTATTTGAAATCAGCTTATAATGGAAATTCCAATGGTCAAAATAATTTAGGACATTGTTACGAATATGGAGTTGGAACAGATAAGGATGAAAAGAAAGCATTTGAATGGTATTTGAAATCCGCTGAAAATGGAAATCCTGGTGGTCAAAATAGTTTGGGACGTTTTATGAATATGAAATTGGAAAATATAAAGATGAAGAAAAAGCATTTGAACGATGTTTGAAATACTAATTCTAATGGTCAAGTTATTTTTGAAAAAAATAATGAGACATTTAAATTGTGGTATTTAAAGTTACAATTTAAATTAGGAGAAAATACTCAAAATGTAACTAGTATTGTAAATAAATTATTAGTTTTTTTTTTTATTTGAAATAAAAATAATTCAATTATAGGAGAATTATGAATGTTTAAAGAAATCAAAAATCTGCTTTTCAGAGAAAATAACATATACGCTTTGAATTCTTCAGTTTTAATCATGGTTTAATATATTACCGGGGAAAAATATATGAATTTTTTTCATAATTTTGGGGTCAAATGATTGAATTTCAGTACCTAGAATAAAATTTTGATCAGTGCGTGATTTTATTTTCGTTAAAAAAAAAAAAAAAATAATAATAATTGTTTTAGCGGCGCATCGCCTCACTTCTAAGCCTGAAAAAAAAAAAATATATATATATATATTTATTTATTATTTGACATTTAATCATAAACCATTTTGATCACAAAATTATTATACATTATTAACTAATTTAAAAGTAACAAGTTTATGCGCTTAAATGTTAATTCTTCGGTTGATATATTTGAGGAATAATTTTCTCAATAAATTAACATCCTTAAAAGTTAGAAGAATAATTTTTCTAATGAGAACAATCAGTATTTCATTATATCCTTAATATGATTCTTTAATTTAAATTATATATCTTCGTTACCATGATTTTTAATTCGTTGATTAGTGCTCCGAAACGATCGAGTCGTTTGACCCGACTCGAATTTTTCCTCGAGTCGGGACTATCATTTTGATGACACGAGTCCTAATTCAAAAAAACCCGCCGGGTCAGGGTCACGTTGTTGCTTGACCCGGGTCGACCCGTGTGACCCGGATGATCAGACACGCTAGACTTTTTTTTTGTTTTATGTTATGCGACTTTAATTTGTAACAAATAAATAATAAAAAAAGTAACATACTGAAGTTACAGTACAACTTTCTAGAAAATGAAAAGCATTGCGGAGTGAACAATAACAGTTAAAATAAAAAAAATTATTAAACATTAACATACATTTTTTTTATAAATCAACAATTGTTCCAGTAGAACGAGTTTTTTCTGGCGGAACCGACCAAAAGATGTGATCTTAAAGCTAATACAATTTGCCTGTATGTGCTTGAGATTCTGGTGAAAAAAAAGGAATTTGAATTAATGTTCACAAAAAAAAAAATAATAATTTTAAAGATAAAACTTTATATGATTTTAGGCATTAATATTACCCTTGAAAATTCGAGTCGAATTCGGGTTCTGTAATTATTAACGGGTTCGAGTTCGAATATGCCTTAAACCCGACCCGACCCGACCCTTACGGAGCACTATCGTTGATCACACGTCGAAATTGCCTATATAAGTTGTTCCATATTCGAAGTTTTTTTTTTTTATCATTATCGCTATCCAGCACCACAAACTTAAAATATTACGGTAACTATGATTCATTCACTCGGAATGTTTATCAATACATATCAGAACTCGGTGCACAAATTGCAAAGTTCGTAATGGTTTGAACATATGGGCGATTTGCATTAGAAAGGGAGGAAACTACCAAAAAAAATTTTTTTTACTTTTAAGCTAAATATTATTTTTTTGGCAAATAAAATTTTTTTGGCTGTCTACTGCAAATCGCAGATATAACAAAAATTTTTGATTAGTAACAAACTTAAAAAACATAAATTAATAGATGATATATTACTATATAACATATTAAGTCATTTTATCAATAGATTTTATTATCCACTATTAAAAATTCTAATAAATAAAAATAAAGAATCAAAATAAAATAAAAAATAAAAAATAAAATAAATAAAATATTAATTTGTATATCCAAAAGAATGATAATTCAAGAAAAAAAACATCATATGTACGGTATAATAAACAATTTGACCAGGTGACATCTTGGCTACATGATTATTGGTAATACAAAGTCTAACTAAAATTAACATGGACGAAATTATTTTTAGTAACAACACATTAATTTCAAATTTAAAGGTTAATTATAAGCTTTTAATAACGTTGTGATAAATTTTCATTTGATTTTACGATTGATTTTGTTTTAGCGTAAATATAACATTATGACATCATTCAATGACGAAAGAAACGAGAAGTGATCCGAACTTCTGACGATTTATTTATCTCAAATAAATAAAAAAAAAAACCGTATTCTAAGAATAACCGCAGAAAAGTAAAGGTACGAAAATTTTAACGATTAACGAATATTAATTTACGAGAGGAAAGCTTTTTAAGTTAAATACAAGGAAAAAAAAAAAAAAAACATTTAGAAACAAATCGATGCGTAAAAATGTAAACGATAAAAATCTATAAGGAAAAAAATAATATTTACGGGTGGAAATAAAGGTAAGGGACGATCAATAACACCACATAACTTTAAGAAACAATCGATATAATTTTTTGAAAGAAAAAAAAAAGAAAAGTGAAAATAATTTACAAAAGTGAATTTTTTTTAACAAGAACCTTTTTTTAAAAGGAAAGAAAAAAAAAGAAAAAAGA